CGTCCATGAGCACAAGTGCAGGTGGCGCCTTGGCTGGTCCTGTGCTGCTGCTGAAAGGAAACTTCGTGAACTTGGTCTCAAGGCATGTAGGGCAGCTCCCAATCTCCTTTGCTGCCCCCTTCACTTCCAGCCCCTTCAAGCACCCATCATTCACTAACTTCTGCAGCATAGGGATGTTGATGTGACACAACCTCTCGTGCCACGTCTCCCAATCGGCCTCACCACTCCCAGATGAAGCCTTTGCCCATGCAGCTGTCGCATCCACACCAGCAAGCACCTCACCATGTGGCTGTTGTGGCTGCTGCACCTTCTTGATTGCATCCAGGGCCCCATCAGTTAGTGCAGTCTCCTCTCCTCCCGCGATTGCTTTAGCCGCTGCCGCTGCCTTTGCCGTTGCTGGTGGTTTCCCCTTCCAAGGGATGATGGGCAGCTGCCACAAGTCCTTGATGCAGCTGCTCTTCTCCTCCAGATTCCACAGCAGCAACTTCCCAAGCTTTGCACGGCAGCAGGTTGGGCCGAACGTAACTTTGGCCTTGCTTTTCTGCAGCCGGCGCACAGAGAGGAGGTTAGTGGATAAACCTTCAACCAACAGCACATTTCCCAGCCCCACAAGCCCCCCATTAGCTCCCATAACCTTGGCATTCCCAACACCAATCACAGGGAGCAAGGCACCTGAAGCGGCAGCCACAAACTTTATCTTCCCAGGGGGCTTCACCTCATCAAGCAAATCTGCCCGTGGAGTCATGTGACTCGTGCAACCTGAATCGATCACCCAGTGAGTGAGGGGGTGCATCACAACCTTCCCAACTGAACCCACATCACCCCCACTCCCTTGCACGTCCTCAACCATGAGGAACATACCAGGGTCGGCTTTACCTTGTGCACCATCACCTTGTGCACCTGAACCTTGCACAGCACCACCTCGTGCACGTTCACCACTTGGCGGCTTCATGCCTGGAGGCGCCCATCCTTCAGGCCGGCTGAAACACTTGAACCATGGGTGTCCAGCCTTCTTGCAGTACCAGCACGCACCCTCCATTCGGGTACTCCCCCTGCCACCAGAGCTCCCATGCCCCTCATTGTAGTCACCTCAGCCTCTCCCTCTGCCAAAGCCTCTCCCACGGCCTCGGCCTCTCCCTCTGCTGCCTCCTGCAGCTCCATACCCCTCAGCAGTTTTGTTGGCAGCACCACCTCCAGTGTGGCGCCTGCGGAAGTCCTCCTGCAGGATCTGCTGCCGTAGCCACTCAGGCGTCCATTTGTCCTGCTGAACGTTGAGGGTGGGGATGAGGTTGTCCCACGAGTTGTCGAGCACCGAGATGATCTTGGTGCACTGTTGCATCTGCGACACTTCGCTGCCCGCCGCTGCCATCCTCGCATAGGTGTGCTTGATCTTGTCAAGGACCGGCTTCACATCATCTCCCGGCCGCATGGAGAGGGCAGCCAACTCCTTCTCCAATACGATCACCATCGGCAGCGTGTTGGGTTGAACCACGTCGCGTAGCAGCTTCCACGCCTTCGGTCCCGAGTCATCGAGCTCCACCAAATCCTTGATATGCTGGAACATGTCGTTGTTGACCGACTGAAGAATCAAGTCGTACAGCACCGCGCTCTTCTCCATCCACCGATCGCGGGCATCTCCTTCCCCCGGCATCTTCTCCTCTCCCATTGCAATTTTCAGCAGCTTGTAGCGCTTGAAGGCGCTCCGCATCCGCCCGCTCCATTCCTCATAGTTGGAGCCATCCAAAGCTTCAATCTTGGATGGTGGCGGTTCACTCCTCTTCTCAACTACATCTCCACTTCCTTCACTCATCTTTTCTGCTCCCAATCACAATTTCAGCTCCCCCTTTGCTGTCCACACCGAAGTCCCACAATATTTTCACAAGTGTCGGCGCCAACGAAATTTCGGCAGAGTTTCCCCTTAGCGGAAGTCACATCCAACCTCCGGAACTCCACTTAGACATGCCCACAGGCCATGGTGGGTCTAGGAGGGTCTTCACACTTAAGTAGACTCCCCACAAGGTTCTTAATCAGCTCTGATACCACTTGTTAGAGACTAAGGATCGAGTCTGTGAAGATTAGGAGCCTAAATTTCTCAAAATCGTTGGCTTGAAATTCTGGACAGAAACCGCGACTTCACAAGAAACGTTGTCGACAAAAAGTGCACCGTTAGAATCGTCTCAAACTCGAGTATGTTATAGCCCTTGCAATTTTCAGCAGCTTGCAGCGCTTGAAGGCACTCCGCATCCGCCCGCTCCATTCCTCGTAGTTGGAGCCATCCAAAGCTTCGATCTTGGATGGTGGCGGTTCACTCCTCTTCTCAGCTGCATCTCCACTCCCTTGATTCATCTCCTCTGCTCCCAATCAGAGGTTTCAGCTCCCCCCTTTGCTGGTCACAATGTAGATCCACACAATCTTCACAAGTGACGGCGCCAACAAAATTTCGGCAGAGTTTCCCCTTAGCGGAAGTCACATCCAACCTCCAGAACTCCACTTAGGCACGCCCACAGGCCATGGTGGGTCTAGGAGGGTCTTCATACTTCAGCAGACTCTCCACAAAGTCCTTAATCAGCTCTGATACCACTTGTTAGAGACTAAGGACGGAGTCTAGGAAGATTAGGTGCCAAAAATTCTCAAAATCGTTGGCTTAGAATTCTGGACAGAAAACGTCGACTTCACAAGAAACGCCATCGACGAAAGGTGCACTGTTAAAACTTCACCAAACTTAGATATGTTGTATCTCTAGTTCGTGGCTACAATTCCCAATTTGAATCGTACAATAAGGTGAAGTATTTCTTGAGTTATGAATTTCGGCGCACTAGGGGGTATGCTGCCATAGAATATTAACTCAATCACAATTGTCTCACAAGCTCACAATTAACTACACAAGAGAGTTGGAGTAGCACTAAACCAGGTGGGATGGGATGAGGAGGACAAGAAGGAAGGTCCCAAGAGAGTCCCCAACCAAGGAAACCCCATGCCACACAATTCCCCTCTCCATAGGCAACCCCACTTTCACTTTTGTCACTTTCCCAACCCATGCCATCCACCTTAACCCAACTTGGCCACACTTGCCAACCTGGTTTGGTTTCACCCAACCACTTGGCAGCAACTACAGTAGAAAAGACGAATTTCCCAACCCCCAAAAGTCTGTACCCCATATTGAGTCAACCCCACAACTCCCCATATTCACCACAACCAAATATCAAAAGCATACGAACTCCAACGTTCGTAACTTTCTTGTTCGTGCTCCGATTGAAGCGATACTTGGTTCGTCGGAAAGCTCTTGAGCAGAGGACTCACTTCAGATATCTGCTCAAGCCAAATAACATTCACACACACACTCAGAAAAATCAAACCGCACAAAACACAAATTCTTGCACACGCTCACACCACGCATGCAATGCACGAACATGTGATGGGAGGTAGACAGACGTGAATGCATATGATTGCATCACACAACAGCTTCGAGGTGGATGCCCTTCGCCATCAACTGGCTGATGCTGAGTAAGTTGTAGCCGAGTCCCTCCGCGATTAAAACCTTTGACATTTGTAGTATGACGTTGGTTTCTCTTCACTCACTCTTGCGAAAGTGGTTAGCCTACCAAATTCCTGACAGTCAGCGGTCCGTACCGTTAAAATAATACGCCCTTACGCACCTTGGCCAAAATATGCTAAGAAATAGCGAGGTCGACTATGTCGATTATGAAATGCGGCGAAGACTCTGTCGAAGGAAATACTTGTGAATTAGGCAAGAAAGGTTACTGGGATGAGAATTGAATGATATTAGTGAAAATAAGAAAGCATTACATAGCATGATGTCAGAACATTATATAGCTTATGCTGTTGTGTAGGCTATAGTGGGGTATCCCATAGGGGGTACAACCCAATTAGGGTTTGCTATTTGTACTCACTTCACTCATAGTTCATTCATTCTCGTTCAAACTTTCTCATGGTATCGAGCAGGTTCCCCTGTGGGAACTGCACCTAGGGCCCACCACAAGTTCGAATTTTTTTTTACTGCCCGGAGCGCGCCCATCCCGAGTCGCGCCTCGGGCCCTCCCTCCCCTAGCGGCCCAGCCGCCCTAACATCGCGGCCCCGTCGCCCCTGCTCACGCGGCCCCGCCGCCCCTGCTGTCGCGGCCCCGCGGCCCCTACTCGCGCGGCCCCGTCGCCCCTGCTGTCGCGGCCCCGCGGCCCCTACTCGCGCGGCCCCGTCGCCCCTGATCACGCGGCCTCGCCGCCCCTGCTGTCGCGGCCCCCGCGGCCCCTGCTTGCGCGGCCCCGTCGCCCCTGCTGTCGCGGCCCTGCGGCCCCTGCTCAAGCGGCCCCGTCGCCCCTGATCACGCGGCCCCGCCGCCCCAGCTGTCGCGGCCCCGCGGCCCCTGCTCGCGCGGCCCCGTCGCCCCTGCTGTCGCGGCCCCGCGGCCCCTACTCCCGCGGTCTCGCCGCCCCTGCTGTCACGGCCCCGCGGCCTCTGCTCTCGCGGCCCTGCCGCCCTTGCTTTCACGGCCCCGTGGCCTCTGCCTTCGCGGCCCTCGCCGCCCCTGCTTTCGCGGCCCTCGCCGCCCCTTCTCTCGCGGCCCCGCCGCCACCTACTCTCGCGGCCCTGCCGCCCCTGCTCCAGCGGCCCCGCCGCCCCTGATCTCGCGGCCCCGCCGCCCCAGCGTTCACGGCCCCGCCGTCCCTGCTCTCGCGGCCCCGCCGCCCCAGCACTGCAGCAGCTGAGCCGCCCCGTTGCCGAGCCGCCCAGCAGCAGCCGAGCCGCCCAGCAGCAGCCGAGCCGCCCAGCAGCAGCCGAGCCGCCCAGCAGCAGCCGAGCCGCCTGGGAGCTGCCGAGCCGCCCCGCAGCCGCCGAGCCGCCCAGGAGCTGCCGAACCGCCCCACAGCAGCCGAGCCGCCCACGAACCGGACCGCCGGACCTGCCCTTTTCTGGTGAGCACGGCACTGCCCCACTGCTACTGCGTGCCCTTCCCCACTGCTTGCACTGCTAGTCTGTCGCTATGGCTACCCCTAGTGTCCTCGCTTTTGACGCTGAGGGTCGAGCCATAGACTTTGAGGTCTGGGTCGACGACCTCCAGCTGTTCTTACAGTGCGAAAGGGCAGACGGTCTTTCTCTCTTTGACCTCACCTCTGGCGCCTCGCCTGCCCCTGCTGCTGATGCTGACCCCACTGTTCGCTCTCAGTGGGCCACCCGCGATGCTGCTGCACGTCTTGCTGTGCGTCGCCACCTCCCTACCACTTAGCGCGCGCACTTTAGCCAGTACAAGAGTGCTCAGACCTTGTACGACGCTGTAGTTGCGCGCTACTCCTCCCCTGCCACTGCTGCACTGAGCCGTCTCATGCTTCCGTACCTCTTTCCTGACCTCACTGCCTTTCCCACTGTTGCTGACCTCATTACGCACCTCCGCACTAGTGACACCCGCTACCGCGCCGCCCTTCCTGCTGAGTTCTGCGCCAAGAACCCCCCCCCATGTACATCACTCTCTACTACGTTGTCGCTCGCCTCCCTGACTCTCTTCGCGTAGTCAGGGACCACTTTCTCTCAGTCTGTCCCACCACCCTCACTGTCGACCTCCTCGAGAAGGCCCTCCTAGCGGCGGAGAAGAGCATCGTCGCTGTAGGAGCTTCTCGGGGTGACCCTCGCACTCCCATCTTTGAGGGGTGCTCTCCTTCCCCCCTACTGCCCTCTGTTGCCTCTGCTGCTGCTGCCGACCTGCTTGGTCTTGAGTCGGTCGGCGCGGCGTCTGCCCCTAGTGGGAGACGCCGCTCTGGCAAGGGCAAGGGGGGCAAGGGCGCGGGTGGAGCTGGAGGGGGCGGTGGAGGTGGCGGTGGAGGCGGCGGAGGGAGTGGGGGTGGCGGCGGGAGTGGTGGCGGCGGCGGTGGTGGTGGTGGCAGCGGCGGAGGAGGCGGCGGTGGTGGCGGCAGCGGTGGAGGTGGAGGCGGCGGAGGAGGCGGAGGAGGAGGCGGTGGTGGCGGAGGGGGTGGAGCTGGTCGGGGTGGTACCCCGCAGCGGAGCGGCTCTGGGGGTGGTCAGCGCCAGCAGCAGCTGCAGCAGCGTTCGCGGGACATCCCTCCGCCCCAGCAGCTCCGTGAGTGGTTCACGCAGCGTCAGTGGGGTGGGGGTACTGGTCCGTGCACCTACGTCCTTCGTTCCGGCGACCGCGCGGGTGAGCAGTGTGGGGGTGCCCACCCCACCCAGCGCTGCTTTGGCCGCCTGACGGACGCTTGGCGTCAGTAGTTCCCCGAGGCTAGTGAGATCCCCTGCTGGGGAGAGCTGTCTAGGGCTGGTGAATCTATCTTTGATCTTGACTTTGATGCTATCCTTGCTGCTATGTATGCTGTGACTATTAGTGAGGAGGGTGACTGTTACCGGTGTTTCCCGCCCGACCCGGGCATTGGTACTGCTGCGCTCGGTGCTTGGGAGACTGCTGCTCTAGGTGCCAGTGAGGCTGCGCTCTCAGGTACTGGTGAGGCTGCGCTCTCAGGTACTGCGTCGGCTTCGGCCTCCCTCACTTTCACACTTGACTCCGGAGCTTCTCGCTCCTTCTTTCAAGACCGCACCACACTCACGCCGCTTGGTCGGCCGGTTGCAGTCTCCCTGGCTGACCCCTCTGGGGGTCCTGTCCTCTCTCACTTTTCCACTGTCCTCCCGTGTCCGGCTGCCCCCTCGGGCACCCTGTCTGGTCTGTACCTTCCCTCGTTCTCGACAAACTTGGTGAGTGGTGCGGACCTGCAGGATGCGGGGGTTCACCAGTTCACTCCTGCGAGTCAGCGGGTGACCCACTGCACGGACGCATGCACAGGCCGGCACCTGGCCACGTTCTCTCGTCGGCCGGGGTCGAGCCTCTACACCCTGACCACTGAGTCTCCTCCTGTCCCTGCGTCTGGTCAGGTAGCTGCGTCAGGTCAGGTGTTTGCTGCTGCGTCCCGGTCTGGCCCTGAGTCTGCCCCCTGTTCGTGTCGCCTCCTGTCTCACGAGACTCTCCTGTGGCACCACCGTCTTGGCCACCCCTCCTTGCCCCGTCTTCGGGGCATGGCTTCCCGTGTCCTTGTCTCTGGTCTTCCCCAGTCTCTCCCTCCCCTTGCTTCGGGACCAGGACCTTCCTGTGTCCCCTGTGTCGAGGGGCGCCTCAGGGCTGCTCCTCACTCCTCCCAGTTTCCCCCGACAGAGGCTCCTCTGCAGACACTTCACATGGACGTGTGGGGCCCGGCCCCCGTCCGTGGGCAGGGTCACGAGCGCTACTTCCTGTTGGTGGTTGACGACTACTCGCGTTACACCACAGTCTTCCCCTTGCGCAGCAAGGGTGTTGTCACTGAGGTGCTGATCGACTGGATCCGCGAGGCTCGTCTCCAGCTCAGGAGGAGCTTCGGCTCGGACTTTCCTGTTCTGCGTCTGCACTCTAACCGAGGTGGGGAGTTCTCCTCTCGCCTTCTGCGAGACTACTGTCGTGCACGGGGGATCCGCCAGACCTTTACGCTTCCGGACTCTCTACAGCAAAATGGGATTGCTGAGCGCCGCATTGGCATGGTCATGGACGTCGCTCGTACGTCCATGATGCATGCGGCTGCCCCCCATTTTCTGTGGCCGTTTCCGGTTCGGTACGCGGCGCATCAGCTCAACCTCCACCCCAGGGTCTCTCGGCCCGCGATGTCCCCAGTCTTGCTGTGGACGGGGAAGGTTGGCGATGCGTCTGCGTTCCGTGTCTAGGGATCTCGGGCGTTTGTCCGCGACTTGTCTGCGGACAAGCTGTCCCCTCGTGCTGCTCCCTGTGTCTTCCTTGGCTTCCCCCCTGACGCTCTAGGGTGGCTGTTCTACCACCCCTCCTCTCGTCGTGTTCTGTCCTCCCAGGACGTCACGTTCGACGAGTCAGTCCCCTTCTACCGCCTCTTCCCCTACCGCACTCCTTCTCTCCCCCCGCCACCGGACTTTCTTGTGCCGGTTCCCCCCCCGGTAGACCCCCTCCCCCCTCAGGTTCCTGCACCCTCAGGTGTGTCCCAGGTAGACGCAGTTGACCCGGTCGAGGTTTCTGGTGACTCTGGTGCTGCTGCGGGTGCTGAGCCTGGGGGTGCTGACTCTGGGGGTGCTGTGCGCGTGGGTGCTGAGCCTGGGGGTGCCGAGCCTAGAGGTGCTGCTACTGGGGGTGCTGAGCCTGGGGGTGCTACTGCTGAGGGTGCTGAGCTTGGGGGTGCTGGGCCGGGGGGTGCTGTACCTGGAGCTGCTGAGCTAGGGGGTGCTGAGTCTGGGGGTGCTGTGTCTGGAGCTGCTGAGCCTGGGGGTGCTGCGTCTGGAGCTGCTGAGCCTGGAGGTGCTGGGTCTGGGGGTCCTGCGCCTGGAGCTGCTGAGCCTGGGGTTTCTCCTGGTGCTCAGTCTCGGAGGGAGCCCCTCTCTCCACAGGAGCTGCGCGAGTGGTTTGCTCGCCGCTGGAGGCGTACTGCTGGAGCTGGAGCTTCTTCGACCGCCGAGGGTGCTGGTGCCGCCGGTCCCGGAGCTGCTGGGCCTGCGGGTCCTGCTGGAGCTGGAGCTGATGAGGGTGTTGGTGCTGAGACTACTGCTATCTGTCCTGGCGGTGGTCCTGCTGCTGGTACTGCCGCTGAGGGTGCTGGTGCTGTCCCTGCTGAGTCTGGAGTTGCCGCGCGGCCTCGGCCGTACTTCGTTCCGCTCTTGCAGCAGGTTCTTGGTCTTTCTCCTCCCATAGAGTGTCCACAGCCTGTCTAGTCGCAGTCACTATTGGAGCCTACCTCCCCACTGCCTGCTCCCTCTCCTTACACTGGTCCTACTGGGGGTCTTGCTGAGCGCCGTGAGCCTGCGTCTCGTCCCGCGTCGCCTGTTCGTGCTACTCGTACTAGTGGTCGCGGTTCGCGTCAGCGTCCTCCTCCTGTCCCTGGCACGCACCGGATGTCTCTGCGTCCGTCCACTGCTCCTCTGCGTGCCCCCTTGCCTTCTCCTCCTGAGTCCTCCCTTCCTGTGCTTGCCGACCCAGAGTCGGACTCCCTTCGTGCTGCCAGTCCTACTGTCACGCGTCTGCTTGCTACTGTCGTCACTGACCCCTCTTTTGAGTCCGCTGCTGCGTCTGCTCTTGTCACTGAGCTCGTCGACTTTGCTGCTCGCTGTCGTCTAGACTACGCTGCCAGTCTTGTTGCTGAGTCTGCGTCTATCTGTCCTCCGTCCGTCGGGGGTGAGTGTGCTCTTGGCACGGACGTCCTAGAGGACAGGCAGGAGGAGTTTCAGTGTCTGGCCGCTGCTTCACCTCATCTCGCGTCTGTACTGCTTGCTCCTGAGGGAGACCCGGATGCACTAGACATCCCGACTCCGCGCTCTTACGCGGAGGCCGTAGAGGGTCCCTACTCCTCTCAGTGGCAGGCAGCTATGGATGCAGAGATGGCTTCCTGGAAGTCCACAGGCACCTACGTTGACGCGGTTCCCCCTCCTGGGGCGAACATCGTCAGTGGCATGTGGATCTTCAGGGTGAAGCGGCCGCCGGGCTCTCCACCTGTCTTCAAGGCACGGTACGTTGCTCGTGGCTTCAGTCAGCGGCAGGGAGTTGACTACTTTCAGACCTTCTCTCCCACCCCGAAGATGACTACTCTTCGGGTGCTGCTGCACATAGCCGCTCAGCGCGACTACGAGCTTCACTCTCTCGACTTCAGCACTGCGTTCTTGCAGGGTAGCCTGCACGAGGAGATCTGGCTTCGCCGTCCACCTGGCTTCACTGGGACTTTCCCTCCTGGCACCCAGTGGAGCCTCCGACGGCCAGTCTACGGTCTCCGCCAGGCACCGCGTGAGTGGCACGACACACTGAGGACTACGCTTGCGGCTCTTGGGTTTGCTCCCTCTACTGCTGACCCGTCGCTGTTTCTGCGCACCGACACTTCTCTGCCGCCGTTCTACATCCTCGTGTACGTCGACGACTTGGTCTTTGCCACAGCGGACACTGCTGGACTCGCCTACTGAAGAGACACATGTGCACAGACCTGGGTGAACTGCGTAGCTATCTTGGCTTGAAGATCACTCGGGACAGAGCACGCCGCACCATTACCTTGACTCAGTCACACATGGTGCAGCAGGTCCTTCAGCGCTTCGGCTTCACGTACTCCTCGCCTCAGGCCACTCCTCTGTCTACTCGCCACTCGCTCTCATCTCTGCCTTCGGATGAGTCCGTAGAGTCGAGTGGCCCGTACCCAGAGCTTGTTGGCTGCCTCATGTACCTGATGACCTGCACACGGCCTGACTTTGCATACCCTCTTAGCATTCTTGCACGCTATGTTGCTCCTGGGAGACACCGACCAGAGCACATGGCTGCAGCGAAGAGGGTGTTGCGCTACCTGTGCAGTACGTCGGGCATGGGACTAGTGCTTGGAGGGCGGAGTCCAGTGGTCCTTACGGGGCACGCGGACGCTTCTTGGGCTGACGACCAGGCTACGCAGCGGTCGTCACAGGGTTACACCTTCAGCCTTGGTTCCGGCTCTGTCTCGTGGCGGGCTACTCGCTCGTCTTCGGTTCTCAGCTCCAGTTGTGAGGCTGAGATCTACGCAGGGGCCATGGCTGCACAGGAGCTTCGCTGGCTCACCTACCTGCTGACTGACCTTGGAGAGCCGCCTCGTTCTCCTCCAGTGCTGTACGTAGACAACAAGGCCATGCTGGCCTTGTGTCGAGAGCAGCGTCTGGAGCACAGAACGAAGCACATTGCTCTTCGCTACTTCCTTGCTCGTGAGCTACAGCAGCGTGGACAGTTGCGGCTTGCGTACGTGGCCTCTGAGGCCAACACTACTGATGTGTTCACCAAGGCACTCGCGCCTTGTGACCATCAGCGCTTCTGCACCGAGCTGGGTCTTGTACTTGTCTTGCCTCACTTGCTCTCCTCTTGACCTTACTTGTACTGTCACATATATATACCTGCTCTTGCTTGTCTAGCTTTATATATATATGTGTGTACTCCTGCATGTGAACTGGCCTTGTGGCCTTGCTCTTGTGCTCGGACTGTGTGGTGACTTTGTGATCCACCCTGAGCTTTGCTTTGCTTTGCTTGACTGGTCTTGTGACCCCTTGTTCTCCCCCACTTTGCCTATGGGGGTGTGTCAGAACATTATATGCCGTTGTGTAGGCTATAGTGGGGTATCCCATAGGGGGTACAACCCAATTAGGGTTTGCTATTTGTACTCACTTCACTCATAGTTCATTCATTCTCGTTCAAACTTTCTCACATGAGAGAGTAACTGGTTTATGGGACTCGCATTTGGAATGCAAGACAGGTAGAATGCTACGCAACGCTTGGGAGTGTACATGTTTGTAAAATGGCTGAAAATTCAGTCCCTTTTGCTAGAAGAGTATAGTGCCAGCGTAGCGGAAACGTGTTTGTAGAAAAGTACAAGATAGGAATGTGAAGCAAGGAAAACAGGAATGAAATGACTAAGTCAGGGTTGGGTACAAATACAACCCTAGAAAGCTGTACCCCATATGTGCTACCCCACTATAGCCTACAAACATGCATCAACTATGATAATCTGACACACCCCCATAGGCAAAGTGGGGGAGAACAAGGGGTCACAAGACCAGTCAAGCAAAGCAAAGCAAAGCAAGCTCAGGGTGGATCACAAAGTCACCACACAGTCCGAGCACAAGAGTAGGGCCAGAGGCCAGTTCACATGCAGGAGTACAGACATATATATATAAAACTAGACAAACAAGAGCAGGTATATATATATGTGACAGTACAAGTGAAGTCAAGAGGAGAGCAAGTGAGGCAAGACAGGTACAAGACCCAGCTGGGTGCAAAAGCGCTGATGGTCACAAGGCGCGAGTGCCTTGGTGAACACATCAGCAGTGTTGGCCTCAGAGGCCACGTACGCAAGTCGCAACTGACCACGCTGCTGCAGCTCACGAGCAAGGAAGTAGCGGAGAGCAATGTGCTTCGTTCTGTGCTCCAAGCGCTGCTCTCGACACAAGGCCAGCATGGCCTTGTTGTCTACGTACAGCACTGGAGGAGAACGAGGCGGCTCTCCAAGGTCAGTCAGCAGGTAGGTGAGCCAGCGAAGCTCCTGTGCAGCCATGGCCCCGGCGTAGATCTCAGCCTCACAACTGGAGCCGAGAACCGAAGACGAGCGAGTAGACCGCCACGAGACAGAGCCGGAACCAAGGCTGAAGGTGTAACCCTTGTGACGACCGCTGCGTAGCCTGGTCGTCAGCCCAAGAAGCGTCCGCGTGGCCGGTAAGGACCACTGGACTCCGCCCTCCAAGCACTAGCCCCATGCCCGACGTACTCCACAGGTAACGCAATACCCTCTTCGCTGCAGCCATGTGCTCCGGTCTGTGTCTCCCAGGAGCAACATAGCGTGCAAGAATGCTCAGAGGGTATGCAAGGTCAGGTCGAGTGCAGGTCATCAGGTACATGAGGCAGCCAAGAAGCTCTGCATACGGACCACTCGACTCTACGGACTCATCCAAAGGCAGAGCTGAGAGCGAGTGGCGAGTAGGCAGAGGAGTGGCCTGAGGCGAGGAGTACGTAAAGCCGAAGCGCTGAAGGACCTGCTGCACCATGTGTGACTGAGTCAAGGTAATGGTGCGGCGTGCTCTGTCCCGAGTGATCTGCAAGCCAAGGTAGCTGCGCAGTTCACCCAGGTCTGTACACGTGTGTCTCTTCAGCAGCTCGGACTTCACGTAGGCGAGTCCAGCAGTGTCCGCTGTGGCAAAGACCAAGTCGTCGACGTACACGAGGATGTAGAACGGCGGCAGGGAAGTGTCGGTGCGAAGAAACAGAGACGGGTCAGCAGTAGAAGGAGCAAACCCAAGAGCCGCAAGCGTAGTCCTCAGTGTGTCGTGCCACTCACGCGGTGCCTGGCGGAGACCGTAGACTGGCCGTCGGAGGCTCCACTGGGTGCCAGGAGGGAAAGTCCCAGTGAAGCCAGGTGGACGGCGAAGCCAGATCTCCTCGTGCAGGCTACCCTGCAAGAACGCAGTGCTGAAGTCGAGAGAGTGAAGCTCGTAGTCGCGCTGAGCGGCTATGTGCAGCAGCACCCGAAGAGTAGTCATCTTCGGGGTGGGAGAGAAGGTCTGAAAGTAGTCAACTCCCTGCCGCTGACTGAAGCCACGAGCAACGTACCGTGCCTTGAAGACAGGTGGAGAGCCCGGCGGCCGCTTCACCCTGAAGATCCACATGCCACTGACGATGTTCGCCCCAGGAGGGGGAACCGCGTCAACGTAGGTGCCTGTGGACTTCCAGGAAGCCATCTCTGCATCCATAGCTACCTGCCACTGAGAGGAGTAGGGACCCTCTACGGCCTCCGCGTAAGAACGCGGAGTCGGGATGTCTAGTGCATCCGGGTCTCCCTCAGGGGCAAGCAGTACAGACGCGAGATGAGGTGAAGCAGCCGCTAGACACTGTAACTCCTCCTGCCTGTCCTCTAGGACGTCCGTGCCAAGAGCACACTCACCCTCGACGGACGGAGGACAGACAGACGCAGACTCAGCAACAAGACTAGCAGCGTAGTCGAGACGACAGCGAGCAGCAAAGTCGACGAGCTCAGCGACTAGAGCAGACGCAGCAGTGGACTCAAAAGAGGGGTCAGTGACGACAGTAGCAAGCAGACGCGTGACAGTAGGACTGGCAGCACGAAGAGAGTCCGACTCAGGGTCGGCAAGCGCAGGAAGAGAGGACTCAGGAGGAGAAGGCAAAGGGGCACGCAGAGGAGCAGTGGACGGACGCAAAGACATCCGGTGCGTGCCAGGGACAGGAGGAGGACGCTGACGCGAACTGCGACCACTAGCGCGAGCAGCACGAACAGGCGACGCGGGACGAGACGCAGGCTCACGACGCTCAGCAAGACCTCTAGTAGGACCAGTGTAAGGAGAGGGAGCAGGCAGTGGAGAGGAAGGCTCCAGCAGGGACTGCGACTGGACAGGCGGTGGACCCTCTACTGGAGGAGAAAGACCAAGAACCTGCTGCAGGAGCGGAACGAAGTACGGCCGAGGCCGCGCGGCAGTTCCAGACGCAGCAGGGACAGCACCAGCACCCTCAGCGACAGCACCAGTGCCACCCACACCTCCAGCGGCAGGACCAACAGCAGTAGGCTCAGCACCAACGCCCTCAGCAGCTCCAGCTCCAGGAGGACCCGCAGGTCCAGCAGCTCCGGGACCGGCAGCACCCGCACCCTCGACGGTCGAAGAAGCTCCAGCTCCAGCTCCAGCAGCACCTCCAGACTCAGCAGCACGCCTCCAGCGGCGAGCGAACCACTCGCGCAGCTCGTGTGGAGAGAGGGGCTCCCGGCGAGACGCAGCAGCAGGAGAAACCCCAGGCTCAGCAGCTCCAGACGCAGCACCCCCAGGCTCAGCAGCTCCCAGCTCAGCACCCCCAGGCTCAGCAGCTCCCGACCCAGCACCCCCAGACCCAGCACCTCCAGGCACAGCACCCCCCGGCTCAGCACCCCCAGGCTCCGCACCCTCCGCAGTAGCACCCTCAGGCCCAGCACCCCCAGCAGTAGCACCCCCAGGCTCAGCACCCCCGCGCACAGCACCCCCAGAGTCAGCACCCGCAGCAGCACCAAAGTCACCAGTAACCTCGACCGGGTCAACGGCGTCTACCTGGGACACACCTGAGGGGGCAGGAACCTGAGGGGGGAGGGGGTCTACCGGGGGGGGAACCGGCACAAGGAAGTCCGGGGGAGGGGGGAGGGAAGGAGTGCGGTAGGGGAAGAGACGGTAGAAGGGGACTGACTCGTCGAACGTGACGTCCTGGGAGGACAGAACACGACGAGAGGAGGGGTGGTAAAACTGCCACCCTGGGGCGTCAGTGGGGAAGCCAAGGAAGACACAGGGAGCAGCACGAGGGGACAGCTTGTCCGCAGACAAGTCGCGGACAAACGCCCGAGATCCCTAGACACGGAACACAGACGCATCGCCAACCTTCCCCGTCCACAGCAAGGCTGGGGACATCGCAGGCCGAGAGACCCGGGGGTGAA